AGGCCCGTCTGGATTTAGAGGATTGTCGAGTTAGCTAAATGGGACCAGACAGGGTCAGAGAACCAGCTGTGGGGAGAGCGCTAGGGGCAGGGATAGCCAGTAGGGGGCGGCAGAGACTCTAGAACCTCAGGGAGACAGTACAGAGGCCGGGCCTCTTTCTGGATATCACTGCGCAAAGGGACGTTTGAACTCACAGAGACTTAAAAGCAGCAAGCACAGGGCCTACATGGGTCTGCTCCAGGTCCTCTGCTTATATATTATAGCTACCAGCTTAGTTTTTTGTTTGTTTGTTTTTGTTTTGTTGCTGTTTTTTTGTTTTCTTTTTCCTTTTTTTTTTTTTTTAGATTTATTATGTGTACAGTGTTCTGTCTGCATGTAAGACTGCAGGCCAGATCTGGAGGGCACCAGATCTCATTACGGATGGTTGTGAGCCACCATGTGGTTGAACTCAGGACCTTTGGAAGAATAAGCAGTGCTCTTAACCACTGAGCAATCTCTCCAGCCCTGTTTTGTTTTTTCAGACAGGGTTTCTCTGTAGCTTTGGAGGCTGTCCTGGGACTTGCTCTGTGGACCAGGCTGGCTTCCTAGTTTACTTGTTTTATGGGACTCCTGAGTGTGTGAGCGAGTGGGTCACTGATTCTTGCACCAGCCTTTGGGAATGCATCCTCCTGTTGGGTTGCCGTACCCAACTGCAATATGAGAGTTTTTGCTTTATCTTATTATAGTTTATTTTGTCATGTTTGGTTATCTTTTAGAAGCCTGTTCGTTTTTTAATGAGAGACAGAAAAGGAGTGGATTATGAGGGGAGAGGTGGGAAGGAACTGGGAACGTGAGTTCGAGGCCAGCCTGGTCTCCAGAGCGAGTGCCAGGACAGGCTCCAAAGCTACACAGAGAAACCCTGTCTCGAAAAACAAAACAAAACAAAACAAAAGCCAGGGTGGTAGTGGTGGTGTATGCCTTTAATCCTATCATCACTGGAGAGGCAGTGGTACACAGGTCTCGGTGAGGTCGAAGACAGACGGGGCTGGCTACACAGAGAAACCCTGTATTGATAAAACAAAACAAAATAAGCACAAAAATTGCTTTAAACTGGGTGTGATGGCCCGGGCAAGCCTTTAATGCCAGCAATGGGAAGACATGCAGTCTGACATCTGTAAATTCAGGGTTAGTTGGTTTACATAACTACCAAACTAGCCAGTAATACACAGGGAGAACCTGTCTGGAAAAAAACTACAAGCCCAAGTGTGGTCCAGGGCAGCTTGGTACACACCTGCCATTACAAGCTCAATAGCCTGAGTTTCATTTACCCTAAAGCAACACCAACTCCAGGGAAGACCACAAACTCGGACCACCCAGGAAAGGGCCATCCAAGGGGAAAATACCTAACACTGTAGACAGGATCACCAGATGTCCCTTAGCCCAGACACACCCATCCCCATTCACCACGACACCAACCTCTACTATGATAAAAACCCCACCCCAACTGAGCTCATCTCCAGGCTCTCTGATAGTGCCAAGGTCTTGGACACACAGAGACTCCAAGTTCGAACTTGAATAAAGACTCTTCATGTACATATGGGATTCAGTCTTCTTGTTGGTTTTTTGGGGGACTCACAGATCTGGGCATAAAAGTGGTAGCACACACCTTTAATCCTAGTACTCAGGAGGCACAGGCAGGTGGGCCTCTGTGAGTTCAAGGCCAGCCTGGTCTACACAGTAAGTTCTAGGTCAGCCACGGCTATACTGATATTCTGTTTCAAACAAACAAAAAATTAAAAAGAAAACCTGTAAACAAACAAAGGCAAAACAAGCAAGGCTTGTTTTGTTCCCAGCACATGAGAGGCAGAGGCAAAACAAGTTTGAGGCTAGCCTTGGCTAGCCTGGAGCTCACTGAGATTTGCC